AAATGAGTCTTCCCCCCCAGATCAAAAAAAAACAAAACAAAAAACTGATCTTTTGTTTTGTTTCAATGCAAACTACTACTATGCAAGAGAAAGAAGTTGTACAGTGTGTCTGTCCACAATTTTGTAATTTTAAATACGCCTGGGAAAAACAAAACAAAAACTGACCACCTCAGCTCATTATGTGGCTATAAGTGTGATATTTTTTCCCCAGCAGGGATGTACACGTGCAGTAGTTATGTAGCTGGATGTGCAAAGTAACTAAGGCAAACTAAGCCAAACACAAAAGTGCTTCAACTTGTACAATATATAATAACAAGGAAAACTTGACACATTGAAAAACACATTGAAAATGAGAAAGATTTGCTTATTTACATTCAATTCAGTTTTATTTATAAGAAAAGCTGAACAATCATACGATCCCCTATGAGCAACCACTGAGTGACAGTGGGAGGGAAAAAACTCCCTTTCAACAGGTAGAAACCTTTAACAGAACCAGGCTGAGGGAGGGGCAGCCATCTGCCACCACCATGGCAGTTGGGGTGCCACAGCACAATGAGCAAGCTACATATGGTTAAAACCCATTGATTTAATTTCACAGGGGTACTATCACTGTGCTAATCTATAAACTGTGTTTACATTAGTTGTTGAGGTCTACGTTTCTGCAGGTGGGAAGGTGCATGTTAGCCTACACTGTAGATTTAAACCTTTCGTCCTGTCATTTACATGGATGTTTCCTTTTAAATACACCGCAAATGCATATAAATTTTCCATCTCTCCAAGCGACAGATATTATACAGATAATAATAATAATAATAATAATAATAATAATAATAATAATAATAATAATAATAATAATAATACAACAAACCAAAGACATGTATGCTAAGTGTAAATGCAGCACAGTCTAGTAAACTTACAGGATATCATTAGATAATCTCCACAGCCATCTTGGTCATCGTCCTCCTGCTGCTCTGGGTCCAGCCCATCTTCAGGGATGTCTCCCATGGCAACACCTTCCTCCTCACCGTCCAGAGCCATCACACAGGTTTCTACAGCAACATCTTCATCTTCATCGCAGTGCACATACTCAGAAACCACATCCTCAACAGCATCCTGGATCACAAGCTCGTCTGGGGCGAACCTGTGAACTGCCATGCCTTCCCCTTCGCCTTCTGACACCAACACAGTCTCTTGAAGCTCCACAACAAACTCCTGCCCGCCGGCACCACCTTCATCTAGAAGAAGCAGGATTGCATGGTTAACCAGATAACAGTGAAGAGCAAGGGTTTATTGTGTGATAATGATTTAAATGGTCATACAGTCATAATATGACTTTGCTCTGGATGGTCATGTCATCTCCTTCCAAACAACACTTTCACTCAAATATTTAAAGTTATCTGGCTATCCACAAAAAAGAAAGAAATCCTGCTAGTACTATTGTACTTCTCATACCAGCAAGACGTACTCTGTAAGTATAAGCATTGCTAATTACCCGATCCGTGCAATATTATTTTAGGCTCTTCAGAATGTATTGCAAGCCTGGTGACATCCTCATCCATTGTCCTCGCACTGCATTTGTTACTGGACAGCTGAAACCAAATGATAGACAGCTTAGTATCAAGTAAGCACAGGCAGAAAATTATGCAGATAATAGGTTACTTATATATTGTAATGCTGTTACACACCATTGCCCTACTTATACAATATTTTACAGGTGTACGGTTATGCTTTTCTGTATGACACTCGGAGCAGCCACTCCAAGTTACTCAGGACACACACACACACACACACACACACA